ATTGAGGAGGAGCCCAAACTACACTCAGTGGCCAAGTGATGCTTATGGTCCATGATATTGGTACAGATTCTGTGTAATGAACAATTCTTTGTGACTGTATATATAAGTTGGAAAAGACATTTAGTTCCCACTTTAAGTGAAACTTAGTTCCCAGGTCATCTACAAGATGGATTAAAATGCTGATAAAGTCAAGAAAAGATGAGACATAAACACATAACAGTATGATTGAAATGTTAAAATGTAAAAAATAAAATAATAATAAAATAAATAAAACACGTTTATTCTGTGGCACCTAAAAAATAATTTGACGTCTAAGTTTTTTTCTTATAGGAGCCAATGGCTCCTTACTTTAGCGCCTCAGTTCAAGCGGCAAGTGAACCCATTTAATCTTTCTCTTTACTACTATAGTACATAATGAACATGAATTAACATCAAATGGTAGGCTATTTTATAAGAGAGCCTACAGTACAACTTACTGAAATGTCTCATGTAAAAGTTCATTCAGTGTTTCAAACTGCGGAAAACGTGTAAAGCTTGTGTTCTTATAGGAGCCAATGGCTCCTTACTCTATTTTTTTGTCTGGAGCCCTGCCGGGTCCCTGACCTAGTTCAAGACAAAAATGCACCAGTGGTGGCAGCTGTGACTCACCAGCGCTGACCATTACTGCTCTCAATAATTCCGTCCAGTTGTGATCTTTTATTGTCTTTCCTGTGGAAGAATGACAAAACCCTATTCTGATATTTATAAGTGAACAGAGAACAAATGCAGTAATTTTAGCCTTTTGTTTTAACGTTGAAAATCCTTTCTAAAACACTTAACTATTGTATTTAATTTCCTTCATTTAGATTCGTTTCAAACCTGCGTGACTTTTTTTACTGTATTTAGATCTTCAGCATCTACCCTTACAAGTTAATATTTCATAACACTAATAATTTATTAAAACTGTTTAATGTAATCTTTATCAAATCACATAGTGTATTTTATATTGTATATTATAATGTTTGGATTTCTAAATGTACACTATGTATGTTTTTTTATTTTTTTTAAGTCTCACCAAGGCTGCATTTATTTGATCAAAAATACAGTAAAAACGGTAATATTGTGAAATATTATTGCAATGTAAAATAACTGTCTTCTAAAATGTAATTTATTCCTGTGATCAAAGCTGAATTTTCAGCATCATTACTCCAGTATTCAGTGTCACATGATCTTCAGAAATCATTCTAATATGCTGATTTGCTGCTCAAGAAGCATTTCTTATTATTAATATCAATGTTGAAAACAGTTGTGCTGCTTCATATTTTTGTGGAAACTGATACATTTTTTTTTTTCAGGATTCCTTGAAAAGAAAGTTAAAAAGAACAGCATGTTTTGAAATAGAAATAGAAAACATATTTGAAATAGAAATGTTTTGCAACATTATAAATGTCTTTACTGTCACTTTTCATCAATTTAATGCATCTGTACAGAATTAAAATATAATTACTTAAAAAAATCTTACTCATCTCCAACATTTGAACAGTAGTGCACTTACAGCATTTAAAATATACATTTATTTATTTAGTAATAAAAAATTTAATACGGGTTTGGAACAACATGAGGGTGAGAAAACAATGACAGTTTTCAATGTTGGGTGAACTATTGCTTATAATTTCCTATAATATTAATACCTAAGCTTTGGAGTATCTTGGAATGAAGCAGTGGTGATAAACACTTGTTTAGTCTCTAACCTTTCCTTTTGTGACCCTTTGATTATTGTTGCTATTTTTAGAGACTCGTCGAGGGTCCAGACAATCTATTGTAATTGTGTTGAATGCTTCCTTTTCACCAGGGGCAAGACAGCGCAATCACAGCGAAACCTTTTTACTGCGAGTGTGCATGACGTAACCAAGCCATTCCAGCTATTTATAGACCAAATAGCTAGATATTGTTCATCACGGATGCTGTTTTTAGCGCCAACAGCTGTTGCACCTAACATGGCCCGTCTTGGGAACCTTGAGATGGTTGCTTGGTTGATGTCCAGTGATTGTTTTTTAGTCCTGTGGTGTCTGTGTTTACACCAGCTCACCTTTCTGCAGCGCGTGCTCAGCTTTACCTCTCAGGGAAGAGTTGAGTAAGTTGTCTGCGGATAATCCATCTTACATTAAGCGGCCTGTGTCATGTGACGCGCCCAGTGGAAGCACAGCAGAGTTACGGTGTCTGCCGGACCTCTGTGTCATCAGCAGGTGGATTTACGTTCAAATCGAGGCCCCTCGTGTTTTGTTTTGTTTTCTTCTGGAAGTCGTTTGCATAGATGGCATTCCTGGACAGTTGGATTCCATTACAGCACTGCTGGTGTACAGTAACACTGTATTTATTAATTGCAAGTTGGTTGTGCTGCATGTGTTGGAGACTATGTCTGAATACACAATGCCTGTGTGATTATAAAGAACATCTGTTGGTTTTGGGTTTTGTGAGTGATTATGAAGCAATATAGAATATGCTACTTTTGTAAACAGAGAAGTACACCGTTTTTAAATACTGTATGCGTTTCAGTTTGAAGAAGCTTTTCCAGTGTTTTCCAATAAGTAATGAGAAGTAATGTTTTCTAAGTAATTATTTCTAATAAGTGATATAGAATATGCTACTTTGCTACTTTAAATGGAGTTTATTAATGAGCATTTTAGTTTGAAGATACTTTATCAGTGTTTTTCTACACATATATATATATATATATATATATATATATATCTGTTTGTGC